CTTTAATTTAATTCTCAGTGGCTTTAGTGGTTGGTACGTAAATTTGAATGATAGTTGTATTAGTTGGTTTTCCTCCTAAGTGTATGGATATTATCCTACCACAGACAACACTGCACTTCAAGAAAGACCTTGAAATTTTCTTTTTGATTACAAATGCTACACCACTCCTGTTTAATTTTTGATTCCTGGCATAGTAAACCATGTGATTGTCTGATTCAAAATGGCCAAACCTGTGAATTTCAGCTCACTAATGCCTAGGATATTGATCTTTATGTGTTTCATTTCATTTTTAACAACGTTCAATTTTCCTAGATTCATACTTTGGATATTCCACCTTCTGATTATTAATGGGTACTTGAAGCTGCTTCTTCTCATTTTGAGTTGTACCACATAAGCAAATGAAATCTTATTCCATTTACATCATCACAGTCAATTCTAATTTCAGGAGGCAGCTCTTCCCTAGTCATCAACTTCTGACAATGTTTCATTGTTATCCATATGGATTCCAGTGGATAGCCATTCAGAAATAGTATGCCTCTTCTCCTTCTGAGTCTGTCTTAGTCTGGAACCTGTCCATTGAAACCCGTCCAACATGGGTGATCCTGCTGGTATTTAAAATACTGTTGGCATAACTTCTAGCATCATAGCAACTCACAAGCTACCACAGTACAGCAAACTGACAGGAGCATTAAAATCAAGATTTTAATGTTGAGTCAAATGCGAGTCGAATGCAACTCACAGCAACATCACGTGACAGAGCAGAACTGCCTTACAGTGTGTTCTTAGTTCTTAGCTGTAATCTTTCCAGAATCAGATCATCAGAGCTATTCTCCAGCAGAGCTACTGGGTAGGTTTGAACTACTGACCATTCAGCACCAAATGCTTAACCATTGTGGACCAAGATTCCTATATCAATATCTATATGAGTGCATATAGATACTATGTTTGACAATCATGAATGGGGAAAAAGTATTGATGCCTATGTGGTTGTAAGTGTTCTATATTTTCCTTGATGTGATTACATAGTATCTATGTGAGATGTAACGCTTGTTGGCATGGTCCATCTTCAGGACTAATAGGAGTCATGGGGCTAGCATAAAAAAAGGAGCTCAGTGGAGGGGAAGAACTAGTTTGATTTGCTAGGAACTTTAAAATAAGAATCACCCAGAAAGGAAATAGGGGAAGTTCATGGAAAAAGAGGTAAACTAACTTTAAATGAGAATGCTCCCAGTAAGGAGTAGTAGGGAACTTTGGGAGGAGACCGTAAACTCCATGTTGTTGCTGTTGTTAAGTGCCGTGGAGTGGAGTTGGTTCAGACTAATAGCGACCCTATATATGGTTTCCAAGGAGCAGCTTGAACCTCCGGTGTTGTGGTTCAAAATGACCTTGTAGTCCAGTGCATTAACCCACAGTGCCACACCAGGACTCCAGAGGACTCCTGTAAACTCCATAATACCCAGTAAAAGGGAACTGGAAGAGGGGCTTTGTTGAGACAGGGGAATAAAACTGTTTGTGGGTCAGCCATGCAGCACGACTACCCGTGTCTACTGGGTTCAGTGACCAATTTTGCAAAATTGAATAAAGACAACCTCACTCTAGCTAAAATGAGTACAGATTGGATTATTTGTTTGTCAATATCAACAATGTTTCTCACACCTATAAGTAGACTGTGAAGGAACAGGCACACACATTGGAAACTGCAGAGCAACCACTAAAAACTATTATGAAGAAAATTACACAAATTAAAATAGAATGCTAAAAACTATGTTTAATTCTAGCTGAACTGATAGTAATAACAAATTATAAATGTAAAGGATAGCTGTATTTCATTCCTCTGTACCCTTAGCAGTTATCCTTAAGCTATATATATAATTGATACTAGCTTTTTCTAAACTGCTTTTCTAGTTATAAAAATTACAGCTGCTTATTTAATTGATTGAAGTATTTCACAATCCTGCATGCCACTGTGGGAGCATCGGTGTGCTGTAGAACAAGCACTGGGCTGCTAACTACAAGGTCAGTGATTCAACCCTACAGTCACTCTCAGAAACCAACTTAACAACAATGAATCATAATCTCTGAGATTGTCAAGGTCTTGGAGGTCTCCTGTACGTGAATTCTTTAGTACGGTTCTCACTGGTCTCCTTAGTAATTCTGAGCTAAGCAAAATCTATGAGACATGTTCATCTTACATGTATATTGTTGTTGTTGTTAAGTACCATTGACTAGGTTCCAACTCACAGTAACCCCGTATAGGGTTTCTGAGGAGCGGCTAGTGTGTTTGAACTGCTGATCTTGTGATTAGCAGTCTAGTGTTTATCCTACAGTAAAACACCAGGACTACATATGTATATTAGAATTATGACTGTACCTCTTTTAAAAGTTACACTTTAGCATACTAAATCCTTTTAAAGAGTGAAACAAAATCCATTGTTTACATTGTGTTCTATATGATTTTCATATAAAGGAATATGATTATTGCAGGTAATAATGATTTATAACTTGCATAGAAAACAAACAACTGTAAGCCAAATTGTGTTAGAGTTGGTTTTTTTTTACAATAAAAAAAGAAAACCCAGTATCTCCATAATTACCTCCCCTATGTCTGAAATGCTGAAATGGAACAATCACTGAGATACATATATAAGTTTATAAGTTGAAAATGCTAGTGGCTGGCTACAAGTTACCTTATGTTGTTATTGTAAAAGATAGCTCTTGGGGTGATCCATCTTCAGGACTAAGGGGAATCTTGGGGATAGCAGGCTAGCATAACAAAAGGAGCTCAGGGGAGAGGAAGACACTAGTTTGACTAGCTACAATTTTAAAAATAAGAATACATACATCAAAGAGTCTTAACATCAAGTATCAATCCTATTTCCTCTGTATACACGGTATATTGAGACAGGGAACTTAGACATTGGCTACCTAAAATGAGGAGGCAATAAAAGCATGAAGTGACTGGCTTAGAAGTTTTCAAGAGGATGTGTAGTTTAAGTGTGTGGGGGAAGGAACAAAAAAGAATACACCCATCAAGGAACTAGGGGAAATTCAGGGGAGGGAGGAAAATTAACTTTAAAGGAGAATGCTCCCAGTAAGGACTAGTAGGTGAGATTGCAAACTCCATAGTACCCAGTAAAAGGGGAACTGGAGGAGGGGCTTCTTCTGAGACAGGGGAATAAGACTGTTTGGGAGTCGGCTATGCCTTCCATCTGTCCATGCCTGCTGGGTGTGACACCCGATTTTTGCAAAATCAAATAAACAGGCCTCTCTTTTGCTAAAACGAGTGTGGATTGGATTTCTTGAGCATTTGTCAATAAGCACCCATGATAATCCATCAGAGACCTTATATGGGGTAAGGCAGTCCTCCCCAGTTCTCCCTCCAGAATCCCATCGGGGTAAGGTCCAAGTTAGGGGTTTATACTGATCTGCTAGTGCCTAAGAGGGGCTGAGGCAGTGTCCGGGGTACTGGCAGCGTTTCTTACGTTGTTAGGTATTGACTAGTCCATTCCGACTCATAGTTACCCTGTATAGGGGTTCTGAGGCTGTAAGTCATTGAAGGAGAAGAAAACCTCATATTTCTCCTAGAGAGTGGTTGTTGGGATTGAACCACTAACCTTGTAGTTCAAAGTCCAAAGGAATCATTTTAATTTCTGAAGTGCAAATATTCCTAACATGACTGAGTTCAAGTTACTAATGGCTTAATAACTGCCTTGCAAAGTTTCTGAACATTGTTAACAGCCAGCTCTCAAAAGTCTGTAAAAGCCAGCTCCAGCACAGCAGTGGAAGGCCCACAGCAGGCTAGGAAGTAAGTCTAAGCTAGTCTTCATTAGCAATGGGACAGTCAACCCTTTCTAAAGCAGAGAACTTGCACTAACCCTCAGCAAGCAAGCGCCCAGGGCTCCTTTGATCCTCCTTACTTAGGCTGAATGCTGATCCCTAACACCTGCCATCTACTCTTTAGAGTCCTGGTATGTAAAATGGTCCTCCTTAATGCCAACAACGAAACAGCCTGCCTCCCAGATCAGACCAATTCTCCAAATGCCTCCATTCTGGCGTCTATCTCCTACAGGTGGGACCACCTGATATCAATAAAATGCACACATTAGAACAGGACATCCTAGGGTCGTCTCTTGAATTTCGAGTCTTAGATGAACCAGCTATACTCTCCAGCCTTTCTGGCCAACAATCCAATTCTAAATGAACTCAGTGTAAAGGAGTCTCATTTTACATTCCTTGTTTACAATTCCTTTCCATTATTCCTTGTTAGTTAGAAGTCAATATATCCTAAATGTGAACTCCCACTCACTTCCTAGTGTCAATAGGCAACAAACGTTAGATGTACTACATTATGATTATAATACAAATTATAATGCTAGTTATAAGTAAAGTATGGATGGGGCAGCAAGAGCTTGTTAGTCAAGATTACTAATACATGTGTTCACTGCAGATGTACATAAATCTTTAAATATTTTTACTTTATTCATAGTCCTCAATTACATTTAATATTATGCTGTTATAGCAAAAAGTTTAGATCAAAATAATGTCAAAACATTTTCTAAGAGTTTTAAATAACTCTGTACCATTGTATTAATAAGCCTATAGCGTATCTATAGGCCATAAATTTAAAAAACCAAACAAAAAGCTCCACTTCCCAATCACTGGAAATTGTTAAGCACCTATATAGACAAGAGAGTCCTTGTTTCAAGGGCTCTTTTGACAGAGGGAAAGAATAAATGCTAAGGCTAAATTGCAATACATTTCAAATACATATGAGGAAACTTCAAAAAGTTTGTGGTAAAATGGAATTAACAGATAATAGAATTTTTTATTGAATTTTTTGAAGCCCCTTTGTATTTACTTAATCATGATTTAGATGTGGGACACGAACTTAACATAGTCTATAGAGAAAATGTCTAGACTGTAAACTGTTTTCTACTGGATCAATCCTGAAATTTTGGGGAAAAACCATTATGTAGTTGTAGTTGTTTGAAAGCTCTTACCTGTACATTTGTAATCAGAAGCTACGCCTTTAAGCACAGCATCAAAAATGGATACTTCCACTCGCTGCTTTCTGTGATGACAACTCAGCAGTAAGGAAGGCTGAGACACAATCAAGTACAGAAAAGGTTCTAGCTGTAAGTCCCCATTTCCTCTGCGTCCAGGCTGCCGAACGATAGTTATACCAAGTGCTTGTCTAGCAGATGACCTTGTGGATGCATGAAGACTCTGAAGAGACAGAAATCCTATTTTCTTCCCTGATGGAAAAGAGATGCTACTGCTTAAGAGATCTTCTGCTGTTACTGAGGAAATACATGTCTGGTTGGGTTTAGCAACATCTTCTGAATCAACTTCTGGGACATTTGATGAACTCTTGCCTGTTTTTTCATTATTGTTCTGTTCCTGTGACTTAGATTTCAGTAAGGCTGTGCAGGAATAAGTCATGAGTGAGATTCTACTGGCAGTAATAAATATGTCAAAGGGAATAAAATTGAGATTTTTTACAATTGATGACTGGCGTGAGGGTCGGGCAATACGATGGTGACTGGTGCCACTGTGCTGCTCTATTTGCACGATTCTGATCTTGACACTGTCGCTGCCAATTCCACTATCCTGGGCGCCACTGTACCGAGATGAGGTTTCAGCCATGCCTCCATCAAATGCATCCATTTTTTTCTGCTCTTGTTTAGAGATCTGTAAGGAAAAATAAAATATTTCACATTACTTACACTGCAAGTGTTACTATATAAACAAGGATATATAAACATGTTGGAAAACTAGTCATAGACTAAACATAAAAACAAACAAAAATTTCACCTTAAAATGACAAGCAAATACGTGACAAAAAAGCATCAAATATTCATTTCTAACATTAAGATATACTTCAAAATTAGACTTTTTCTTTTTATTAATATTGTTCTAGTGGTTATGAATCAGGCTGCTAACTTCAAGGTCGGCAGTTCGAAACTACCAGCTGTTCCGCAGGAGAAAGATGAGGCTTTCTGCTCCCGTAAAGATTTACAGCCTTGGAAACCCTGTACAGGGTCACTATGAGTCGGAACCGACTCCACGGAACTTAACACCAACGACAATAACAGATCAATTCTCTATGAGTCAGAACTGACTAGACTAACAACAATAACAATAGATCAGTTGATTGACAGATATACCTCTTTACAGAACTGTATTTACCATGCTATTCCAAGTAGTACAATAAAAGCTTTCTAAATCATGATTAGTGTAGGTTGAAATATCTTAAGTATGTGTAGTTCATGCTATGTTGTTTACTTTTGTTACCATAAAACTGATTTATAGGTTTTTGGAGAGTATGAAGGAGAGGGAAAAATCAGCAGTTCTAAATTAAGAAGGACAATGAAAAACAAACTAAATTAGATATATGCCATTAAAAAGATGCTTGAAATAGAACAAATGAAAGTGATCAAATAAAATGTAAGTAATCATACCCCTGGAAGGTAAATTTGTCCTTTGTGCACTAAGGGCTACTTGTTCCCATCCAGTGACTTTCTCTGTAGAAACGAAAGAATATCTTGGTGCAAGTCACAGGTATGATCATGATGGCTGAATAACTCTACACCTTCAGCACAATTCACTGTTCCCATTTCTAAGGTACTCCAATCCTGTGTGGGATAGCGTTATTCTGATTTTACAGGTGAGGAAACTGAAGCTTAAAGAGCTTAATCAATAAGTTCACGGTCAGACAGCTAGCTGGCTATGGGGAGTACCATATTAACACTCCCAGAATACTATACTGCTTGTCTCAAAGTAACAACTGTATTTTTGTTACTGAATGCCATCAAGTTGGTTCCGACTCATAGCAATCCTGTATAGAGTTTCAAGGCTATAAATCTTTGTGGGAGCAGAAAGCCTCATCTTTCTCCCGCAGAGCTACTGGTGGTTTTGAACTCCTAACCTTGTAGTTAGCAGCCCAACAGCAATAACAGGTAGTTAGCATAACCCACTGCGCTACCAGGGCTGCTTAATAACTGTCAGCTGACTGAATAAATGAATGCATACATCTAGCAAAATAGTAAAATAATGATCTATTTAAAGTGTTTAGTTATGCCTACTATATATAAATGTTTCAACTATACCTCCCAAACCCATTATCAAGTAGGAATTCTCAAGAAACGTGTGAAAAAGTAAGAAAGTCAGGTACATAAGTAGTATAAGATGTACTGTCCACATTTTGAGGCATTATAAAGCTAACCATCTGTCTACAGAAGTAAAAGCAGTCTGAAGCTGAGTTCCACTGAGTCCTCTCATCAGGAAAGGCAATTAACTACATGACACTGCTTTCGAGGCAGAGGGCAAGGCATATTTTAGTCTTCTGATTTACAGATTCGCTTCAAAATCTAGTTTCCTCTTTGTTAAAGTGAATTGTTGCCTGCATGTATTAGCAGGGAAAAACAAACCGCCTGTAGAGAAAGATACAAAATTGCAGGTCCAGCATTACTATGTGTTGAAATTGTCACAGTTGGCTCTAGTCAATGTCAAGTGGTGTGATCTTGAGATATAAATAACCAGCAGGACAGGGTCAGCCAGGTTACTGAACAGAAGTCAGATGGTAACTAATTCTAGTCACTACTGAGCCAAATGGAATTTGAACCAAAGACCCAGAGATGAAAGACTCTGACTCTCATTGAAGAAAAAAAATGTACAATTTTTCCAGTGCGAGAAGACTACATTTTAAAAATTGGGTTAAGAGTTAAGATTTCCTCCATTTTTCTACACGTCTAAGCTATTTGTAGACAGAAATAAATAAGCTGATGATTTTTGAGGCATACTTTAAAATCCACTGGTTTGTCACCAGTCCACTGCAGATTTATCTAACACACTGAAGAGTACCTGGCCTGCTACTGAGAAAAGTTTTAGTTACTTATGTGCACGAGGACCTAAACTTGTGTATCAATTCTCCACTGCTTTGGTGGGGAGAAGGGGAGCAGGGGAGGAAAGGAAGTTCACAATGTCATAACTCTGAAAATAACTTTTGCTTTGTTATTGTCCATGGGAACTAATCATTCATGTTGTCAAAAACTAGCACTCTCCGCTTGCTGTTAAGAGAGTGCAGCAGAAATATGTCTCTCTGGGCGGTGATGTTATATCAGCTCTCCGATGCTTTACCTAACTCATTTAAAATGAACAATAAAAGTTTTCTTTAATTAGCTACTGGTGTGCATTAACATGATCATGATCAAACCATAAAAACCAACTGTACATTACTCTGGTCCCCTCTTCCATATGTTCTGAATTATTCTGTTTGAAAATGTACTTTGCGTCCCTTTTAAAAGTTCGACCTTCTGCTTTCAGAGAATTAAATGCATATTACTGTAGTGAAGAAGATAATGTTTCAGACCTCCAGGCATATATTAAAAACACACTGGCAGCACTTGAGACAAAATGCTTTACTTATTAGATACTTCCTATTCTAAACAGTGTCATCAAAGGCTAAAAACAAAATCCATATAAAAGCTGCACAATGCTTCCACATAGAACCTGTGCCAAAATCCCTGTACTTTCCAACTAATGAGGAAAGGATGTGTACTCTTAACATATAAATGTAAGATTTTCCAAGCATTCACTTTAGGAAACTAGGCTATTGGTACCATATGGCTCATGTGAAATGAAACTGTATTGGTAAAATAACCTTTAAGATATCTGGCATGATAACTATAATTAAACAGTATTCAAAGGACTAAAACAAAAGGGAATTTGGTTCCACAATGGCTAATTAAAATAAAATGAAAAAACACAGCATGCCATCTATCAAGATAAATTGTTATTGTTTAAGAACTATTTAAATACTGTTAAAATATACTTTTAGATAAAATCTGAAAGAGCTGGAAAAATATTTGTGGCTTAAAAATGGATAGTTTGGTGAAGAAAAAAGTATGGGACCCTGAAATTTTATGCGGAGATAACAACTTTAAAGCCTTGAGCACAACCAGATGGAACTTAAATCAGAGGAATTCTACAGTTTCACTATCAATGGGTTTCAATATGAGGTTTTCAATAGCTAGGAAAACATGTCAAGTTGATAGTTTACTTCTGAGATCATTTCAATGCATTTTTCCCATCCTCTCAGAACTATACAGGGCAGATACTAGTCACCCTGGAAAAGGTGTTGAAAGCTGTACTAGTAGCTAGGCAACTGGACCTAATGTGCTTTTTAATGTACTGGGATAGGGAAGTTTCTTAGCTCAACTTGGAGCCTGGTAAAAGTCTTAGTATATTGTGGACAGTGACTAAACCACATCTGTGTAATGGGACAATACCAAAGAATGCATGGAAATAATGTCAGATGAAACTAATGAGATGTTCTTGATAGCATTCTGAATTAGGAAAAGGTAAGCTCATTCAAAAGTCACAAAAGCACATTAATAAAGATATTGCATATAAATGGATATTTAGTTTTTGAAGAAGCATCTGTGAGAATCAACCACTAGAGAATTAACCACAACTAAAACATACAATTTCTGTTTGAACAGCCGATAAGAAGAAAGGCAACACAGTATCTAGTCCATGACATCATTTCATTTCTTTGTATTTTTAAGGAAAACTTACCTATACACCAAACATAAGTATAGTCACATATTTTTCCGACTTCTTATCATAATTATGATTATTTAAAAGCAATGGGGTGCTGTAAGGTAAGCACCAGACTGCTAACCACAAGGTTGGCAGTTCAAACCCACCCGCTGCTTGGAAATCCTATCCAGGGTCAGTATGAGTCAACGGAGATACAATGGCAATGAACAGCAATATCAGCAGCAACTCTGAAGTAATATTTCCAACATGTAACAGTCATACTTTAACTCTGATCAAATTATCTCATGCCAATCATGAGACCATTTTTCACATTATACAAATTATGAAAAAAGTCAAGTGTGAAACCACAAAATCAAAGTGACAATCACATCTGTCTCACTGTGACATTAATCCTAATTTTACTGCCCTTTTTGCTAAGATGTAGTAGTGCTTTCAAAGAAGTAAACAGCTTGTCTTTCTTACAAAATCAAAGAGAGTTTTTTTTTTTAAATAGTGGTTACAGCAGTATTTGAATGGCTTTACACACTGGAATCACAAAGGAGAACTTACACAACTTGAAAAAATGTATGTATCTTATTGTCTAAATATTTGCAAACACTTCTGTCTGAATCTCTTAGAAATCCCTTGCTTTGGAATGGGGTGGTTTGGTGCTGCTGGGAGAGACTGTTGCATTGTTTTTAACACAGTGATAGTTTACACTGGAAACTTTATATAGGTAGCAAACATTAGTAATAATCAGAAATACTCAACTCTAACCTCATAAATTAATCAAGAAAAAACTTTTTTTTAAAGTCCCAAATTTCCAGCGACACTATTAGATTTCATAAACTTTTATCATTTTTGGATGAATTACCATTTCAACCTAGTAAGGTGCTCAGTGAAATTTATTAATTTATTAAATTTATTAAAGAGAAAAGTACTGTAAGGATTCAATTGATTTAATTATGAAACATCTCCTTCACTGTCTCCAACTGATTTCATTTTAGTTTAAAAATAAACTTGAACAAGCACTGTATACAGGGGAGCAATATACATACAGAGTTCTAGAAAGCAAGGGCTTTTTATACTTTTTTTCTCTAAGCCAAATGTTATACAAGACTCCACATAATTGTTCCCAGTTGGATGGC